AGCAGCAGCAGCAGCAGCAGCAGCAGCAGCAGCAGCAGCAGGTTCTACTTGCATGCGCTGCTTCTCACGATTTACCCACGAAGAAGGTGGAGGGACTGAAGCATCTAAGGCAGCAACTGCTTCACCTCCTCCTTCTGCTGTTGCTGCTGTTGTTGCTGCTGCTGCTGCTTCTAGTGGTGGTGATGATGCTGCTGCTGCTGCTGCATTGAAGCGGCTTGCTGCAGCAGAAGCTGGAGTCGGAATCGTGTGCGGGGCACTTATAAAATTATTCTGCTGCACCCATAGGGCTGTCTCTTCTTCTGTATACGTAGGCCTATCAATGTTGCTGCTAGAGGGTGAACTTGCTGCTGCTTCTGCTGCTGCTGCTGCTTCTGCTGCTGCTGCTTCTGCTGCTCCTGGTGTTGCTGGCGCTGCTGGTGTCGCTGGTGCTGCTGGTGTTGCTGGTCCTACCGGTGTTGCTGCTGCTGCTGGTGTTGCTGCTGCAGCCGGTGCTGCTGCTGCTGCTGGTGTTGCTGCAGCAGCAGCAGCAGCAGCAGCAGCGACTCCTTGTGTCCCTAATAGAGCGAAAAGGAGCAGGCAGCAGAAGCAGTAGATGGAAGTACCGCAAGAGAAAGCATTTGCTGGTGCTGCTGCTGCTGTTGCTGCTGCTGCTGGTGATGTTGCTGCTGCTGTTGCTGCTGCTGCTGCTGCTGGTGTTGATGATGCTTCACGCGTGTTGCAGTTGCCGGAGAGCCTCCGCAGCAGACAAAGAGGAAGCAGCAGACGGGGCATTGATTAAGGGGTTTGATTTATTGATTGTTAGCGGAGCAGCAAATCTGCTGCTGTGGGTAGCTGTGCATGAAGACAGCAGTTATTTTAACAAATTTGCTAACAAAGCAAAGACCTCCTAGTGAGGTGAGGAAGAAGCAAGCAGCAGCTGCTGCTGTTGCTGCTGCTGCTGCTGCTGTTTCTGCTGCTGCTGGTGTTGTTGTTGCTGCTGCTGTTTCTGTTGCTTTTGCTGTTGCTGCTGCTGTTGTTGTTGCTGCTGCTGCTGATGATGATGATGCTGATGCTAGATCCTCTTGCTGCTGCTGTTGATGCTGCTGTTGCTGCTGCTTGTGCTGCTGCTGTGCTGCTGCTGCTGATGATGATGATGCTGCTGCTGCTATGCTGCTGCTACTGCTGCTGCTGATGATGATACTGCTGCTGATGCTGCTACGCTGCTGCGAGTTCGGGAGTAGAGGGAGAGGCTAAGGGGGCGGTAATAGAAAGAAGATTATAATGAAGATAAACAAATATATATATATAATAACACTCGAAGGAAATACGCCAAATGTATATTCAGCTAAAAGTATTTCAGCTAAGCACGGGGTGTATATGCAGCTCTACTGCAGCAATGTTTTTGTTTTGAGGTGTATTTTCACTCTATTAATAATATTTAATCTTTATTTCAACATAAAATAATCAAATAAATAAATAAAGAAGAATATACTACCTCTTTCTCATCTTTTTTTCAATATAGCGTACATTTATTTTGCGCATAGAGGCGTGCAGTCTTCAGCGGTTCTGCAGTAAAGAGCAGAAAATGTTTAGATATTTTTGAAGCTAATTCCGTCGTTTTATTGAATTAATAGTAATATAAATAAATAAAGCAGAAGATAAGGAAGAAAATAAGCTAAGAAAACGACAAATATAGGCTGTCTAAGCCCTCTTTATTATTATCACCTCAGCTGTACATACACCGCAACGGCAGCTGAACTGCTGCCTTCTAATGCTGCAATTAGTACAAATAATTTATTTATTGGGTCTAAATTATTATTTATATTAAATATTTCAATGTTTATTTACTTTATTTCCTCTACTTTAATATCCTCATCGAACAAACTCATATCTTCTGCTGTACAGACACCTCAACACACTCCCTGCCTTCTCCCTGTCTGTCCAAAACTCTTTAATATATTATTTTTAAGTCTTCTTTTCTATTTATTTATATTTAATTTAAAAATTAATTGTAAATTAATACAAAGAAGTCATTACTACACCGCATAGCCACAGATTAAACCCCCTTATACCTGCACGTCTAAACCCTAAACCCTAAACCCTAAACCTTAAAACCTAAACATTGCTACTCCGGGCGTAGCTAATAGAGCTAAAGAGAATATCTATAACTGCATCTATATATCAATATATCTGCATCTATATATCTATCTATCTACATCTATATAACTATATATATCTCTCTATCTATACATTATATCTACATCTATATATCTACACATATATATATGTCTATATATATATATATATATATATATATATATATATATACGTATCTATATCTATATATCTATTTGATACACACAATATTCTATATATCTATGTATCTGTATATATATATATATATGTATATATATGTATCCATATATCTACATGTATACATATATATATATATATATATTTATATAGAACTCCTTCCCCCTGTATATATATAAATAAATAAATATAAATATATATATTTATATACAGGAATGATAATACTATCCTGTGTTTGCTGCTGCTTTGTTTGTCTCTATGGGTTATTTGTTGATAGAGAGGCATTGAAGCAGCAAACAGCAGCAAACTGCTGCTGCTTCGCACTCCCCTAGACAGCTGCAGCCATAGAGCAGCATCACGCTTTGCTGCTGCTGCTGCTGCTGCTGCTGCCATTGCTGCTGCTCTTACTGCAGCCTGTTACAGGGCTAATACACAAACAAACAGACAAACTTATGCTTGAATGCATGCATGCATTTGCATGCATGTATAACAACAAAAGCAGCTGCAGCAGCTGCTGCAACAGCAGCAGCAGCAGCAGAACGATTTCCCAGTGTTTCGAGTGTATAAAGGGTTGCTACGGAATTGTCATCATTAATAATAAATAAATTCTTCATTTAGAAGCAGCTGCGCTCATTACTTAACTGCTGCACCTGCTGCTGCTGCTGCTGCTGCTGCTGCTGCTGCTGCTGTTCTTGCCGCAGGCCGCAGCAGGGAGTTGTCTCCTTTGCTTCGAGCGGCAGCAGATGCCGCCTTATCCTGCTCAGGATGGTGTTAGCCCCGTCTCCTTCAGCAGCAGCAGCAGCAGCAGCAGCAGCAGAATTTGTTATGGCTAATGCTTGCCCGTTGCTTGGTGCTGCTGTTGCTGCTGGTGTTGCTGCTGTTGCAGCGTTGCTGCAGGTTTGTGGGAGCGCGTTGTGGGGCGGGAGATCTTTAGCTGCTGTTGCAGCAGCAGCTGCAGCAGCAGCAGCAGCAGCAGCAGCAAGCGATGCAGGCCCCTTCTCCCAGGTGTGGCTGCTGCGGCTGCTGAGAGGCAGCAGGGCCTCCTCTGAGATATGCTGCAGCGGAGAAGCAAGACCTAAAGAAGAGACCCAGCTGCTGCTGCTGTTGCTGCTGCTGCTGCTGTTGCTGCAGTTGTTGCTGCTGCTGTTGCTGCTGCTGCTGCTACTTTGTGCTGCTGTCTCCTGCGGCTGCAGCGGCGTTAGAGGAGCCAGCAGCCCCACATCTTCTGCTGCTCCTCTTGGGCGCAGCAGACACGGAGGTGATAGCAGCAAATCTGCTGAAGACAGCTGCAGCAAAGAAGAAGGTGAAGGCCGCTGCATGCAGCAGGACGACGAACCCCAGCCTAAAGAGTTGCCGTTAATAATAGACAGCCAAAGAGGAGGAGGCAAGCCCTTGCTGCTCTTGCTGCAGCAACCGCTGCTGCTGCTGCTGCTGCTGTTGCTCCTGTTGCTGCTCGTTACACGGTTCCCGCCGCTCCCGCTGCTGCTGCTGCTGCTGCTGCCACTGGTGCCGCTGCTGCTACTTCGCAGCAGCAACTCCTCAGCCCCTGAGCTTGCTGTGTCTCGCTGTCGTTCTGCTGCTGCTGCTGCTGCTGCTACTGCTGCTGAATCTTCTCTATCAAAAGAAACAGCAGATGGGGAGAAGAGTGCTGCTAAGGAAGCAGGTTGCTGCTGCGCGCTGTTGCTGCTGCTGCTGTTGCTCCTCGCTAGGCGCAGCACTCCGTCTTCATACAAGCCCCTGCTTGCTGCTGCTGCTGCTACTGCGGCTGCTGCTGCTGAGGTTGCTGCAGCAGCCTTGAGAATGGAGCCTCCTGCTGCTGCAGCAGCTGCAGCAGGAGAAGCTGCAACAGGAGAGAGCGCAGCAGCTGACGCACTTCTTTGTGCAGCAGTAGCTGTTCTGCTGCTGCTGTTGCTGCTGCCGCTGGTGCCATTGCTGCTGCTGCTGCTACCTGCTGCTGCTGCAGCATCCTGCTGCTGAGGCTCTACAGCATCAAGCAGCAACGACAAAGGAGCTGAAGACAGCAGCGGAGTTGGAGGACATGACGGTAGATAAACAAAGTTTAATAGGGCTTCATGCAGCCCAGACGTCTGCCCCTGGGGCCCCTCAAGCCCCGCAGCAGCAGCAGCAGCAGCTGCAGCAGCAGCAGCAGCAGATGCGCCGTCTGCTGCGGATTCAGTTGCGCTGCGCCGAGCCCCCAAACTCGGCAGCAGAGACCCTAGGGGAGAAGCAGCAGCAAACAAACCAGCAGGAGGAGACAGCAGATAATGCATTGCTGCGTCTCCCTTGCTGCTGCTGCTGCCGTTGCTGCTGCTGTTGCTGCAGCAACTGCTGCTGCTGCAGCACGTTGTGCTGCTGCTGCTGCTGCTGCTGCTGCGGCCGCCTGGCTTCAAGAATAAACACGAAGGAGAAGCAGCAGAGTTTGTCTGCTTCTCAACGAGACTTGGGGAGGCCCCCGACCTAAAGAACACTGCGCTGGAAGATGCTTCTCGCTGCTGCTGCTGCTGCTGCTGCTGCACTTCTTCACTGTCGCAGGACTGCAGCAGCCCCCAGCGAGGAGTTAAAGGCCCATCTGCTGCCAGCGTTGCTGCAGCAAGACCCTCCAGCAAGAAGGTGTCTTCATCCCTTTGTTTCCCTGTTGCTGCTGCTGCTGCTGCCGCTGCCTCCGCGCTGCTGCTGCTGCTGCTGCTGCTGTCCTCTACACCGACGAGAGAGCCCTGCTGCTGCTGCTGCTGCTGCTGCTGCTGCAGCGCTTCTGCTGCTGTTGTCGGCAGCAACTCTGGGGGGCCCGCAAGGAAAGAAATCCCCTGAAGGTCTCCCTCAGGCCCTGAGCTTACCGTATGTCCAGCAGCAGCAGCAGCAGCAGCAGCCGCAGCATTGGCCAAAGCACCAGGATCCGCAGCAGCAGCAGCAGCAGCAGCACTCGGGTCGCCCATCGCATGCTCAACTACAGATGGAACCTGCTGCTGCTGCTGCTGTTGCTGCTGCATGCGCCGCTTCCGCCGTGTGCTGACAGTCGCTGGGCCCCTCGCAACGTCTGCTGCTTCTGCTGCTGCAGCAGCACTCCCTCCAGGAGCAGCAGCAGCCGTTGCTGCTGCTGCTGCTGCTGCTGCTTCCTGCTTCGTCCTGTTGACTCCCTTTCCTTCCCACGTTCCCCTTCTGGCGCTTCCTGCTGCACCCCTCGGGGAGTTTGCTGCTGCTGCTGCTGTTGTTGCTGCTGCTGCTGTAGCAGGCGCTGCCTGTGGGGCTGCAGCTGCAGCTGCAGCCGCATGAGCAGCGTCAGCACCTTGTTGCTGCTGCTGCTGCTGTTGCTGCTGCTGCTGCTGTTGCTGCTGCTGCTGCTGCCTGTGTTTCGTAGCTCTGCGTGCTGAGGAGCGCGATGAACTTGCGGCGCCTCCTGCTGCAGCAGCAGCAGCAGAAGATGGTGTCCGTTCCTCATCAGCCTCAGCATCTGGTGAAGAGACAGACGGCTGCACGTCTTTTTCTGTTTTATCAAAATTAATAAAACGCGTTGCTGCGGTGTCTGTCTTCTTTGCTGGAGGAACTGTTAGAGGCCTGCAGCAGCACCAGCAGCAGCAGCATGAGCAGCAACAGCATCAGAAGCATGGCAGCAGCAGCAACAGCATGTGGAACAGCAGCAATAGCATAAGCAGCAGCACAGGCAGCAGCAGCAGGACAGGCAGCAGCAGCGGCATTAGCACAAGCAGCAGCAGTACAAGCAGCAGCACCAGCACCACCACGAGTAGCAACAGCAGCACGATCAGCAGCAGCAGCACCACGAGCAGCTGCAGCAGCAGCAATACGAGCAGCAGCAGCAGCAGCACTACGAGCAGCAGCAGCACCACCACCACCACGAGGAGCAGCACCACCACCACGACGAGCAGCAGCAGCAGCACGAGAAGCAGCAGCAGCAGCACGAGAAGCAGCAGCAGCAGCACGAGAAGCAGCAGCAGCAGCAGCAGCAGCACGAGAAGCAGCAGCAGCAGCACGACAAGCAGCAGCAGCAGCAGCAGCACGAGAAGCAGCAACAGCAGCACGAGAAGCAGCAGCACTAGCAGCAGCAGCAGCACTAGCAGCAACAGGAGGAGGATTACCATCCATTGATCTTCTCGAGTTCGATTCTGAGGTCTTCAGCTCGCGAGCGTGCAGCATAGAAGCCGTATTTCTTTATTGAGTGCGTCTTCTGCCGCCGCTTTGACTCGTTTTGAGGGTCCCTATACACCACACGCCACTCTCGCTTCCCTGCACATACACCGCAGATTTTCATATGCATATATATATATATATATCGTTATACTCATCCTCCTGCTGCTGCTGCTGCTGCTGCTCATGATGATGATGATGCTGATGCTGCTGCTGATGATGATGATGCTGCTGATGCTAATGGTGCTGCTGCTGATGGTGCTGCTGTGTATACATATATATAATTGTTATTATATTAATAATAACAAAGAAGACGGCAGCAACAAACATAACAGCAGCAGCAGCAAATAACAAATAAACAAACAAACAAACAAACAATAATATTAAATAACAATAACATTAAATAATAATAATAACAATAAATGATAATAAAATAATAATAATAACAATAACATTAAATAATAATAATACTATTTAATAATAATAAAATAATAATAATAATAATAATAAAACAATAATAATAATAAAACAATGATAATAATAAAACAATAATAATAATAAAACAATAATAATAAAATAATTAATAATAATAATAATAATATAGAGCTAACCGAAGTGATAGTAGCAGCCGGGCACCGTAGAGAAGTAATCTTCGTCAGGGACTGTGGGGACGCGAAAGGCGTCGGCTGGGATACGCCTGGGCTGGGGGATCGTCTCCGAAGACGATCCCTTCTCGATCCCAGCTGCTGCTGCTGCTGCTGCTGCTGCTGCTGCCTCCGCATCACGAGCTGCTACAGATACTCCACATTGACTTCGACGCACTGGCCGACCTGCGCGTTTCCCGCATACACCGCTGCTGCTCTTTCCTGCTGCACTTCTGCTGCTGCGGCCTCGTGCTGCACTGCTGCTGCTGCTGCTGCTGTTGTTGTTGTTGTTGCTGCTGCTCGGTGTGCTGCTGCTCGCTGCGCTGCTGCTAGGTCCGCTGCTGCTGCTTCCGCATCCTCCAGATACAGGCTGCTCAGCAGACGAAGAAGCAATGCCGAGACCCGCTGCTGCTGCAGCAGCACCTCCGCCTGCTCCTCCTCCTGGTGTAGGGGGTCCTGCTGCTGCTGCAGCTGCAGCACCAGAACCCACTGGGGGCGCTGCTGCTGTCGGGGCTGCTGCAGCTGCGGCAGCAATCGCTGCGTTTGCTGCTGCTGCTGCTACTGTCGGCGCTCTTTGTGCTGCTGCTGCTGCTGCTGCTGCTCCTGGCGCGGCAGCTGGGCCAACGCCCCCCGCTGCTGATGCAGCTGCTACTGATGCTGCTGCTGCTGCTGCTGGAGACGCAACACTAGCAGCACACGCGGACATTGTTTCACGGACGCCTGGTGCAGCAGCAGCAGCAGCAGCTGCTGCTGCTGCTGCTGCAGTGTCCTGAACGTCTGTAGATGCACCACTGACATCGAGGGGAACAGGCGCTGCTGCTGCTGCTGCTGCTGCTGCTGGTCCTGGAACCTTCGCAGCTGCAGCATCACCCATCGCAGCAGCAGCAGCTGCTGCTGCTGCTGCTTGCTGCTGCTGCGCAGCAGCAGTCTGCTGATGAGCCGCAAAGCTGAGCGCTGGGAACAAACACGGAGCAGAAGCAGCAGCAACAGGAAGGCATTAATTAAGAGACACAGGAGCAACAGCAGCAGCAACAGCAGCAGCAACAGCAGCAGCAAAAAGCAGCAGCAACAATAGCTGCAAACAGCTCCACAAGAGAAGCCGAGACAACAGGAACGACAGCAGTAACTGTAGCAGCAGCAACAACAGCAGCAGCAGCAACAATCGCAGCAGCAGCAACAATCGCAGCAGCAGCAGCAGCAACAGCAAGAGCAGCAGAATTACCTGCGGCCCTCCCTCCTGCACCAGCAAAAATACGCCAGGCGTCTGCCGTCTGTGTGTGCTGCTGCTGCCGATGCTGCTGCAGCATCTGCTGCTGCTGCTGCTCTAGAAACTGCTGATCTCTTTGTTGCTGCAGCCTCACTAGCTGCTCTTGCAGCTGCTGTTGCATCGCTGTATCTACAGCAGCACGGGCGCGTGCAGCAGCAGCAGCAGCTGCTGCTGCTGCTGCGCCATTACCGCCCCCCAGGCTAGCAGCAGCAAAGGCTGCAGCTGTTGAGACAGCCTGCTGCTGCTGCTGCTGCTGCTGCAGCGCCAGCAGCGCAGCTGCTTGTGCTGATGGGTGGCCTTGAGCTTGTGCAAGCATCAGCTGCTGCTGCCGATGAAGTGCTTGTTGCTGCTGCAGCCGCTGATGGTGCTGCTGCACGATAAGCTGTTGCTGCTGCTGCTGACGCTGGAGCAGCAGCTGTTGCTGCAGCGCCTGCTGCTGCAGCAAGTGCTGCTGCGTCAGCTGCTGTGCTGTCATAGGCGTCAGCTTCGCAGAGAGAGCAGCAGCAGGAGGGTTGGGGCCGCCGAGGGCCTCCTGCTGCGTACCTTGTCGCATCTGCTGCTGCTGCTGCTGCTGCTGCTGGGGTTGCTGCTGCTGGTGTTGGTGCTGCTGCTACTGTTGTTGCTGCTGTTGCTGCTGCTGTTGCTGCTGGAAGGAGGCTCAGGCTTGCTTCCATACACGAGTTTTGTTGCAGCTGCTGTTCATCCTTCCGGAGTTGGTGCAGGTGTATGTGCAGCAGCAGCAGCAGCAGCTGCTGCTGCTGCTGCCGCTGCTGCTGCTTGAGGCGCTGCTGTGTTCTGGTAACAGCAGCAGCAGGAGTCGAAGGAGCAGCAGCAGCAGCAGCCGCAGCCGCAGCAGCAAGAGGTGCTGCTGCTGCTGCTGCAGCGGACGACGCCGCTAGGCTGTGAAAAAGAAGCTGCAGCAGCAAATATAGATATTGAGTTAATTCAAGAAGACAAAGATAAGAAGAAGAAGGCATCCAAAGTTGAGGTGTATGTACACCGCACCACAGCTTCCTGCAGCTCCTGATGCTGCTCCCGTTGCTGCTGCTCCCGTTGCTGCTGCTCCCGCTGCTGCTGCTCCCTTTGTTGCTGCTACTGCTGCTGCTGCTACTGCAGCAGACTTCTTGCTGCTGCTGCACAATGACAATTAATAAGCCAACTAAAACAAAGAAAGAGAGACAGCGATGCTCTCAAGGCCGCCACAGCAGCCGCAGCAGCAGCAGATGCGCCCCGAGCTGCTGCTGCTGCTGCTGCTGCTGCTGCTGCTGCTCCTTCTAAGGCGAGGATCGCTGCTGCAACGGGGGTTGCTGCTGCTTAGCAGCAATGTGCTGCTCCAGCAGCAAGTAAAACAAAAGTATTATTAATTAATATAATAATAATAAAAGCATTCATTTTTATTCTTTGCTAGCTCTGTTGCTGGTGCTGCCTTTGCTGCTGCTGCTGCTGCTGCTGCTGCTGCGCCTCTGCTGCTGCAAGTGCACACCGCAGTCGAGTGCTGCTGCTGCTGCTGCTGCGCTGTCTTCTCACCCTAAGTAAATGTTTGCTGCACTTGTTTATAAGCATTAATAGCTTCAATAAAACTCCCTAGGCTATAACACCCTCAATCGTCTTTGCAGTTGCTGCTGCTGCTGCTGCTAGAGCTGCAACAGCAGCCGCTGCTGCTGCTGCAGCGTGACTGCTGCTAGAGGAAGGTTTAGTATCAAGGTTTGTGCTGCTGCTGTTTATATCTACATTTTGCTGCTGTTAATACATTTTTAATTTATTCTTATAGCTGCTGCACTGCAATATACTTAACTATGCCCCCCACGCTAACAGCAGCAGCAGCAGCAGCAGCGACGGGAGCGGCAGCAGCAGCAGCAGCAACAGTAACAGTAACAGTAACAGCACCTCTGCAGCAAGCACATCTCATAATAATAATGATAAGCAGCGCTAGTGCAACACCGCGAGGTTAACACACCCTAAACCCTAAACCCTAAACCCTAAAATGAAGCCTCCTAAGGCCTCTCTGTGTGCTGAGGTGCATAGACACCGCGGCGTGTATATGCAGCTTCAATATTTAAAGATGTAATCTGAAAGAATGTCTTTTGCATTACTTTAGGGTTTATATTTGCCTCTCTGGCGCTCCGCTAAACCCTAAACCCTAAACCCTATAATATATACATACATATACGCATATATATATACATATATATATATATATATACATATATATATATATACATATATATATATATATATATATAGATTATATAAATATATAAAATTACAAATAAACGGTGTTGTAGCGAGAGTAGAGCAAAGCAAAAAGAATTTCTATCTTCATCCAATGCAAGTGTTTATTAATTAGGGTTTATGAATTAGGGTTTATTAGGGTTTATAATTGTTAGGGTTTGTTAATTAGGGTTTAGGACAGAGGGTTTATTAATTAGGGTTTAAGAGAGGGTTTATGAGATAGAAGGGTTTGAAGGCAGTTAGTTATTCAAAACCTCCTCTACCCAAATAAACCCTAAACCCCAAACCCTAAACCCTAAACCCTAAACCCCAAACCCTAAACCCTAAACCCTAAACCCTAAACCCTCGAGTTTATACGAAGCCGAAGCCTTCTCTTCCTTCGGTGATTGCTTGCAGCAGTTTTTTTCTAAGGATTGCCTTTGATGAATATGCAGGTAAATCTAGCTGGTTAAAACAAGTATGCGCTGAAGGCAGCCTGTCTTCGCCGTACGCCCTGAACAAACAAATTAATTAATTAATTAATTAATTAATTTATTTATTTATTTATTTATTATTTTATTTATTAGTTTATTAACTAGTTCTCAATTGAAAACTTTCGAGGCCTCTACTCTTAACTAAAGCCCTATACTATATATATATATATAT